TTCTGCATAAATTTTAAAGCTTGTGGTCAAAACAAATCCTAAAAATCTCCTGCAAAGGTACAAAACATGATTTTACCCATCCTCAACATGGACGTGACGCCGTTTGTACAGTTCCTGGTCTTCGTTGCTTACATTGGTCTTATTTTTGGACTTTCTGTTGAACTTATCGGACGTAATCCATTAAACATGTTGAGAGTAAGAGATAAAGAGGAAGGATCTGCCGTGAATGCAGAAGGTTCGGTCATAACAAGCGAAGATTCTGCTATTACGAGCGAAGGCTCTGCTTTAAAGAACGAGTGAGATCGTTTTTTCGGTTATTGAGTGACATTGAGACACAGTCTTCTTTGAAGTAGCTACTCATATTCAGTGCATTCGTAGACCAAATATTTTATTTGCGTCATTTTAAATCCGTCCTAATAACCTTCATCGCCTTTCGCCATCCTCCTTCCTTCCTAAATATGATTATGTTGACTTGAACCGATTATTTGACAAGGACAAGATTAATTCTCTGGGTACATTTGTCGAATTCAAGTGGAAAAATGTAGATTATGGCGCACCAAGTTTCATATCGTTTTTTCATTTTTTATGTAGACGCTGGAAGAAAGCCGACATAAGCTCAAAGAAAACCCATATTTTTACCCTTATTGGCGAATCGATATTTCACCAGCAGGCTTTAAAATGAGGGTCGACACTCCGATTGTGGGCTGCGAATTCGAAATGATTTTCACTGAAAAAACCTTCAGTCTTCGTTGTCAGCTTCAAATGACGAAATTTAGATGTAGATGCATGCTTTAGCCGCTATCATCAATATTGTATTCTGTAAAAATCTATAAATTGCTTGAATTCAATAAAAGCTGTGGTCCATATGGTGAATATGTACGATTCGCTCTATTTATTGTTGAGCCCTAACATTTTAAGTGGCCCGCCAGGGTAGTGTGAGGACTCTTTAACCCTTTAACTCCCATGACTGACCACGGCACATTTTCTCCTCACGATTTCAATACAATATCAAACAAACAACTAATGAGAATAAGGAAAATATAATTTAAGTGGATTATCAGTTGACCCAATACCAATTTCTCCAAATTACCATCATAAAAAAATTGTATGATAGACAGAAAGGAGAATTACTAATAAGATCTTTAGAGTGAAAGGGTTTATCTCGAGGCCTTTACATCGATGTTTAGTTACACACGAGTTATTGCCCCTGTAATTCACAGTAAATTTTTATTCACAATGTACTATGAGCCCGGTGCATCCCCAAGTAAACATCAGGGATCTTTCCGCCTGCACAGCTGCTGCAGTCATTTTTGTTTCACCATTGAAGAAAGGCATGATATTGGTCCTTAATTTAAAGAATCATGGAACGGCAACAAATCTCTATCAGTTTGAGCTACAGAGCTATACATATATAGCTAATGTCTTGAAGAATGTAATCAGGCTGGGATAAGCTCAAACTATTTTACATAACCTCTTTCCCTGCAGCCGGTAGTCTTTTCGGCATACTCAGATGTTGGAGGTTTCGATAGATGTCGGCCGTCTTTGTCAAAACGTGTTAAGACTGATGGCTGATAGGCATCAGAACTGTCAACATCTAACCATAAAGTGTAATTTATATCATCACCTGCCGCGGATAATTTCACGTTAAATTTCATACTAACGGATAAGATCGAACGAACGATATCGCACGAATCGTGTGTTGAATTGCAACGCGTCAATGTAGCGTGTTAGTCGGCTGCCAATGGTGTATTTTATTTTGGTGCCTTTTCTTTTAACTCGACATTAAGGTAGCAATGCTTAGTAACATAAATCCTGTTGTGATTTGATCTTAGCTATCCATGCGCCATAACCTCCTAGCCAGTGGAATTAAAAGGGAAAACATGCAGCGGTCTGCTAAAGCCTCCTCGTTAAAATTTCACGTTTTTTTAAAAAGCGTAGACAAAGCTACGCGAGTGCAGAACCGAGCGGCTTTATCCGGACTGGCTTACGTCAGCATAATGGTTTTCTGTAGCATTACGTTGCGCAAGAGACAAGACATCCGCAAAAAAAAAATGAAAAAGAAAAATGAATGAACAAACGAATAAATAAATAAAAAAATTAAGCGCACTTGGAGATACTAAAATCGAAAGACAAAAAAGAATGGGGTGCTTTCGCGGAGACCGTTATTATAACATATTTCCTCAATTTTTATTCTTTTTTTCCGTTGCAAATGGGTTTTAATCCTGACAAAGCTTAACTGAGTGCACTCAACAAGACAAAACAATCGCAATAATATGGCTGGCCATTTCTTTCATCGTCTAACTAGCAAATGATAATGTAAATATTGATTGTAACGAAGATGATAATAACAATAATACAAACAGTGTCTATGGTGAAGCGACATGTCACTGGAATTACACAATTTTGCAAATTCTCATCGAAATAGTGGTCTTTTTATTTTAAAAAAGGTAAACCACAGTGTGAACGGTAAAACACACAAAAGTTACGATTTAAGCGTTGCCTGCTTTAATGATTCAAAAGAGGGAACTAAAAATTTGCATTTCAGTGAATTAATATTTAAGAATCTAGCTACTGGTACCTGTTGAAGACATCATGGCAAACTCAAATATCATTTCTTCTCTGGCAATTTTAACCAAGCCACTGTAGGTAATGAATCTCGTATTCGAACCCATGAGCTTTCTTCAAAATTACTGTTTAAAGTAAACGAATATCTCTCAACGGAGAAGGCATTCTAATAACACTTCTATACCAGGTTACCAAATATTGCTTTCTATGCCTCTCCTTAAGAGAAGGGGGGAGTACCTACGATAGACTATAGACAGGGTTGCACCTCCAAGGAGTTTGACACTTTCAGGCTAATAGTATGTAGAGAAAGGGGTTTGAAGGGCTACGGTAAAGAAAACAATAAGGAAAGCTGCAACTGACGCTTTAAATTGAAGATTACAAATGTTGCAAAAGAAAAACTGAAATGTATAGAAAATACTTTTAATTTCCCCTCTTCATGCTACTGCAAGACGTTTAAGTGTTGTGTTGATTTACTGAATTTAGATGAAAAGTACCCCATACTACAAGGAAAGTACACATATGCGAAATATATATATCGAGTTGCTCAATAGTTCTTCGTCAATTAGGAAGAAGTATTTGAAAGTCAGGGTAGGAAACCCCACCCCTGCCTCTCTATAAAATGAAAATGAATGCACCCTCCCCCGGTTCGCGTTCAATTTGAAATGTGCATCATAACGGCTGCCAAGTTTTAGAAAAACCCGTTTCTGCATAAATTTTAAAGCTTGTGGTCAAAACAAATCCTAAAAATCTCCTGCAAAGATACAAAACATGATTTTACCCATCCTCAACATGGACGTGACACCGTTTGTACAGTTCCTGGTCTTCGTTGCTTACATTGGTCTTATTTTTGGACTTTCTGTTGAACTTATCGGACGTAATCCATTAAAAATGTTTAGAGTAAGAGATAAAGAGGAAGGATCTGCCATAAATGCAGAAGGTTCGGTCATAACAAGCGAAGATTCTGCTATTACCAGCGAAGGCTCTGTTATAAAGAACGATGACTCTGTCAAAGAAAACGAAAACGTGTTGACTTAGACTGATAAGTTAACAAGGACAAGACTAATATTCTGGGTACGTTCGTGGAATTCAAGTGGAAAAGTGTAGATTATGGCGCACCAAGTTTCATATTGTTTTTTCATTTTTTATGTAGACGCTGGAAGAAAGCCGACATAAGCTCAGTGAAAACCCATATTTTTACCCTTATTGGCGAATCGATATTTCACCAGCGGGCTTCAAAAAGAGGGTCGACACTCCAATTGTGAGCTGCGAATTTGAAATGATTTTCACTGAAAAAACCTTCAGTCTTCGTTGTCAGCTTCAAATACTCGATGGCTCAGCAACCTTCGTTTTTTTGGCTCCCATTTTTTCATGCTCAAGATTGGTGGTAATAGTAATACAGAGTTATCGATTATTATGTCTAGTTTTAATGTGAGTTAAATGCCACATTTTTTCTTTCCTTTCAGCGTATACTAAAGTTGAATAATAGATTATTGGTAGCGTCTTCAGATTTAGAGAAAACAATGCCAACCGATGATGAGCGTATGTCATCCCACCAGACACTCCTCAAGTTGCGCAAAGGGAAGCCTTTTAGATTGCCTTTTCCTGCCGTCCTGAAAACGAACAGAACTTAAAGGGACACCACAATGTAATCAAAGTCATTTATAACTTGGAATGATTTGATACTGAAATGTTGATAATGATCTAAAAGGAGAGTCAACTTATATTCTAGACCCTGGTAGAGCGCCAGGTTGTTACCAACTTACCCGCCGACTGACAATAAGCTGAGGAGTTAAATTGATTGTATTTTAAGTTGGAAAAAACGCACCTCGTGCATTACGTAATGAGAACTGGCGCTACCTCGAAGGTACTTTGTGCGTGGAAAATTCTGGGAATGGCGCACGGACAAAGCCTGTTGTAAAGATTTTATGGCATATGTTATTTAAGAACAATTCTCGTATCACAGTCATCTCCGAATCTGCAGATGAATTGGAACCACATGGAGCAGTCACAATCAGCCCATTGGCTCCATGAAGAAAATTAATCACTCCAATAGTTCGTAAATTAAAAGGTAATACAATTAACAAGAGCTAAGGCTGCGCTCTTCTATCACTGATTAAAGAAATAAACGAAAAAGAAATCAAAGTCAAACAGAGTCGACTCCCATCAAAATTTGCTTGTCGTCTGTTTTACCTGAACAAAGAACAAAATATGGCAGACGAGGAAACAAAATTGACATATCCGCAAGTTGTTCCGAAATCTTATACCACCCATTCTGATAAATTTTAAATACGCGCCATATTGTCGCTTTAAATAATGCAACTTAATACCATGTTTTAATACTTCCTGCACCAACAATCCAATTATTATAAAAAGATTTCATCAATTTTATTTAATTTTTTTTTGTTCCAGAAAAGCTTTTATAGAAGCTAGCTAGATCTTTATGTTTCAAGCAGTGGTTGATGTATTAGTGGCAGTTGAAGCTGTTTACAAACGACTAATGAGAATGTTGAAACTGAAAGATATTACAGAAACCAATTCACTTTAAGGTCTAAAATGATTAACGTAATCGTCATTGATATATTGAGAAAAATGCTTTCGTGGACTGCTCTGAACATTGTGGTCTGCGTATTCATCATCAGTCGTTAAAACGCTGTGTGTGTGGACTGCATATGGGTTCATACGTTACTTACTTCATTTAATCGCTGCTGATAAAATGAGGAAACGAATTTAATGTTTGGTTTATCATTCGAAATCCGACCCGAATGCAAATAAATAACTAAGTTCGATGGTCCTTTCTAAGTGGTAATGGTGATTAATTTCTGAGACGAAGAGTTTCCGCAATCCCCTTGAACATTTTACTCTCACAACACAAAAAAATACATGAAAATATCACAAGATTATCTTTCTTAGACTTACTAAATCTTCTTACTCATTAAATTATTAGTTAAAGCAATGTCAACAATATGCATACACCGGGATACAAATGAGAAAGGACACTCTTTCTTTGTGAGTGTATTTGTGTTTGTATAGTTTTATTAAACGGGTGAAATCCTTTCGTCTCCACCGCTTAAAGTTTTAGGTATTTGGATGGTTTCTCGTTTGCCAGCGGCATAAACTGATGTTGTGGTACTGTCACTTATCCTTGTGCGTGCCTTGAGATGAAGGAATTTGTAGAAAGCTCTTTTGAACTGAGGAAGCCTCCATGCGTATAAATAAGGGTTGATACCAGAGTTGCACAACACAATTAAGAATTGCAAATCCCGCAACCAATGAATTAGCACACAACTACAGCCTGAGCAAAAATTTAACAAGTAAATCATAACACAGGCTGGTGTGAACGAAGCAAAAAATGCAAGAAGCACAATCATCAATGCTTTGACTGCTTTGCTGTCCTTTTTTGCATTGATAAGATTTTTTTGGTTCTCCTGTACATCAGACTTCGTGCTCTCCATTTCTCCCCTCTTTCGCCAATATCTCGATCTTTGGCGCAGTCGTTTAAGTATTCCTACATGAACAAAGATGAGAACTCCACACGTGCTGAGAACAGCAGTGTTTGCAAATATAAAGGAGTAGAATATAAATCCGAGTTTGAAGTATACGAAAGAAAACCCTAGTGCCGCCACCCAAATTAACAGGGATGTTAAAATAGCGCGCTTGGAGGTAACCATTATTTTGTACTTCACTGGCGATGATACGGCCACATATCTGTCTACGGTAAGTGCCATGAGTGTTAGAATAGACGCCGTGCACAAGATAAAGTATAAAATGTGCAAGATTTTGATATCTACGATGTCAAGTTGAAGCGCTTCGCTGGTGTGAAAAGCAACTGACACGGGATCCATAATCGTTCCCACAACCAGATCAGTCGTCGCTAGACTTAACAGGAAATAGTTAAAAGGTGTTTTCAAGTTTCTGAAGGGATCTTTTATGATGGCCAAACAGATGAGAAAGTTTCCAGGAATGGTTAAAATTATCAGGAAAACTGAAAAGGAGGCTGTAAAGTATGAGAGAGCTTTTGGAGGACCAATGTTTGAACACATACTCGACGAGGATGCTAAAGCCATCTAGACTCTCTGATTTGTTCCTGCAGGCGCGTTAAAATCAGTGTATGCGCAAAAAGTATATTTGTTAAACTTCGACTTGACACCGATTTGTAAAGGTGCTTTCTGGTGTCTTTTATGCACTCACGCCTCCAGCAAACTGGAACTTCTCGGGCCCTCGATGGAATATTCCGTTTTGATCCAACCAAGTGATGCACCTCGAGCTCTTTGGAACAGTATCCTTGTCAACAACTATGAAAGATCAAAACCAATCAAATAATTTCCTGCATGTGTGTCTGGTTACAATTCGACAGCTTGTCTGACTTTGCGACTCAAATACGAATTACCATGTTGCAGCATTAAGTAAGGGAGGCCACCAACAGAAGATAACTTGAATACAGCTTCCACCTCAAGACAGGTGAAACAGAAGTCAGTGGGATAAATGCTGAGATTTTTGTCTCGCCAGCTGCTTTTGTTGGACAGTGAAGCACATCGGCTAGTCAAACGTTATTAGAGTTTATCTATATCCGTCAGCCCTACAAGAAAAAATAACTTCCATTTTCTCTCAGTAGGAAACATCTATCGCTTATCTAAAATTAACATATACATATACAGAAAGAGGAAAAAACAGCGTCTACGACGGTACACTCAACGACATGATGCCTTTCGCTTTCAAGTTATTAAATTTTGAAGTATTTTTGTTAGGAAGCAAAATTAAATGTATGCATTTCGGACAGGTTGCATATTCAATTCAATTCTTAAGCTTTGAATACTCCAAAATATACTCATCGCCTAATAATCAGTGACTGAGGCTGTATATGTACTATTAACACACAGCGTAAACATCAGCAGTTCTGGAAGTTGTAATCATATTTTTTTCTTCTTTATCTTTATTCAATGATCACGTGATAAACAGCAAGGGTGTATGTAATGGTATAATTTTCAATCTCTTAGTTAATTACCCTCAGCGTGGCGGTGCGAACATCCTGAGTTTTGGTGAAACAAAATCAATAGATCTAGCTTTTCAGAGTTTCTTATAAAATTTTCTAATAACTGGGAGGCATACAGAAGAAAAAAAAAACAGAACAAAGCAGTTACATTATTTTGATTTTCAGTGTCAAATTTCATCATAGAGTGCATTCTCTTTGTTCTCCTCCTTTTCTCCAGCGATATTTTTGATAAACCTATGATCGTCAAAACAATTCTGATAAGTAAAATTCAACGAAGTTATCTTTATTCATAAAGTAAAGCTTCCCTTTATGTTTTACACATTAATACTAAATGCATTTTTTTATCATCGCCTTTAATTTTTCCGTCAATTTATTTCCTATATAAGACACCTGCAATAGCCGCGGATCGTCGCTAAAAGCTCTTTTTCTTAGGGGCTAAGGAGCTTAAGTATCATTTCATTCAGGTTTTTTTAAATTTATTGCGCCTATTTTCACATTGACTTACCGAAAAAAGAGTATCTCTAAAGAAATCATTGTCTATTTGACAATTTGACATATGGTTTAGTTTAGTTATACTTTCCTATCATCAAAATGTCAGTTCTCGTACATCCAGTTCCAATTGCCAAATCCTGATGTTTTCTATAGCTTTGTATTTCTTTCACCAAAGCGCCAACGTAATTGCAGCGATCAAAGAAAGTGGTCAAATTGTCTTTCTTTTGTCGCTTTATTTGAAGGAGTAAAAGGGCTGAGAAGCTTTTGGAACTAAAGTATTCCACAGTGAAGGAACAAAAAAAGCAAAATTAAATATAACTCTATTTATTAAAAATGGTAATTTCCAAAAACCATGTCGTCGTATATACTGATCACAAAAGCAGATATATACCGATATTGACCAGTTAAGCTAGTTATTGCGGAGAGTGAAGTAAAATTGAAGTAAAGAGAGGAAAAGAAACAGGAAACTGAAATAGAATCCATATAGGATAAGATATCAAAAGAAGCAGCCTCTTTGAGCACGAAATAGCCGTCACGATCAATCTTGAAGAGAGCTGATAAACTCTATCACCGAGTTGCAGCTTACTTAACTTCTGTGCTATTATTAGATGAATTTGTTGGACGATTGTTTCCTTTCATAGATTAGCAATTAGTTCACTTTTTTTATCACAGAAGTATAGGTTTCCTTCTAATCCTAACAAAAGATAAGAAGCAATAAGACATCATTCTCGTTTACAAAAAATGATTACTCACGTTTCTGAAGAGCTTCGGCCAGGAGAATAAAAAAAAGAAGAAAAAGTTAAGAGAGAAATCCGCCACAGGTTGATCAAGAGAGGATTGATTACACACAGTACGAATACACCGAAAAATACCGAAAAAATCCCAAAGTCGGGATCCTATGCCTAATCGAAAATGAAGTATGGGATATTTATCGCTATATCATGCTTAAATATTGGAAGCGACATAACCTCGGATTATCTTTTTCACAGTTTAAATTCAGTATGATAGGTATACAGTACTACTCATCATCATGCGAGAGCCAATTCGTATGACTAGTCAGCTAAATATTTTTATATGTGAAAAGTGATAATCTGATCAGGACCGTACTAACTTAATCACTGATTCATAAACTGTGGATTTTAAAGCTTTTTAAAGTCTGAAACTTGTTTCAAATTCTGTTCGTTTGTTCATGTTTTGCGCCTGAAAGCTTGGTATGTTGGGTATTTCACACAATTAATACTGCATCTATTTCTTATCTTAATGACTTCCACGACTGAATGATTTTCCTAACAATCCTCGTTCCTTTTTTACTGGTTGTTTATTTTCTGTTTGGTCCTTTTGTATCTGTGTTTTAGGCAATCTGCCGAAAGCTGCACCGTGAATGAAGAACGGAGAAAAACTAAAACTGTTATAAGACTATGGTGCTAAAACAGCTCAGTAAGGACATTCTCTTAAAAAGATAAGAGACGAGCAATAACACAATAGAAACTGTTAAAAACGCGTTTCAAAGGTCATGTTTTGGGGAAAAAATAAACAGTTTACATAACCAGATACAGATGTTGTTAAAAGTTTTACGGATGACCCAGAGGAAATAAATGAAAATAATTTTTATGTAAATTCTGTGATTAACCGGCAGATTCATGATTAACTGGCTTGACAATTCCTTTCGCTTTGTGATATGCTTCACTTACAGATTTGCTTCAATACGCCTTCATCTGTAAATGAGCGAAAAACCTCTCACTTGTGAAAGACTCGCTGCTCAATAAATAGCGTCACCTTACAATGAAAATCAGAAACTTACCTGATACGACCCGCGTGCCCGTGGTGGAAACAGTGAATGAGTCAGACTGACTAACGCAATTACATTAAAGGGCCAATGAGCGAAGTCCAATATATATTATCTCAATTGAGTCAGGAAACAGGAAAATATATATGAACGACACATGTCTTGAGGATCAATTTTGGAGCTCTGAAACAATGAACGTATCAAGTTTTAAATAAAAAAAACTGAACTTAATTTTGCTAGTTGCAGAAAAATAAATATTGTGAAGTTTATATGAAATAATTCATTTTTGTACTGCGGTTGTAGATGAAAGGAATACCTGATGAGAAATTTTCCAATGTGTATTATAATAACAATGATAACAATAGCGGTGAGATAATTAACAATAATAATGATAATAACAATTATAATAATTACGAAATGATTAACAGGGTCGGAAAACACATTTACAGAGGTCATCTGTAAGGGATGTGATGAAGATACTGTGAGAAGTGGTAGGAACAAGATCCATTAACAGTAATAAAGATAAACTCAATAAATTGACCTCGCTCCCAATGTGTGGCTTCAGCGCAGTGATGAATCGACACCGGTATTCGCGGAGGTCATCAATCCGTTGGAGCTCTGAAACAATGAACGTATCAAGTTTTAAATAAAAAAAACTGAACTTAATTTTGCTAGTTGCAGAAAAATAAATATTGGCGGCGTCAACTTTTGTACCGCTTCTGATACACTAAACCACACAGGCTATTTGAAATTTCAAAAACATAAAAAAAATAAAAGCTAAGTTTTTCGTTTGTCTCACGACGTAGTCACGTGTGATGTAGATCTCGACGTTTCGACTGCACACTACTAGTCTTCTTCAGGCGATGAGGTCGACTGGTCATGCGTGATCTTATAAAGCATGATGCTCTGCTGTGATTAATTAGTTGTTTTTCAACAGCTCTGATTGGTGCATTTTGATCCTTGCTGTTCACTTAGTGATTTGCTCCCTCAGCGATCTGCAGTCGCGCGGCTCTTCTGTTGTTGTGTTTTTTGATCGTGGGCATCCACGGTCCTGGAATTTCTATTCCACTATAACTTAGGGTTAAGTCTTATATGAATTGCCCATGGGCGTGTAGTAATGAGGGTCACGATCAATAAACTTTACTTCGTTCCAGAGTGGCTTGTGTCCGGTGTTTTGGGCATGCTCTGAAACGGCGGAATGTCTCGATCGTGCTCCTTAATTCTGTCTTGCATAGGTCTTCAAGTCTCTCCGATGTACACCTTGCCGCATTCACAGAGACTCCTGTAAACTACGCCATCTTGTTTAGCCGGGTCGACAGCGTCTTTTGGTCGTACTAGCTGAGATCTTGGCGTAGTCTCCAATTTGAAAACAGCGCGTATGCCTCGTTGTTGTAGGCAACGGCGAAGCTCTTCGGACAGACCTTTGACATAAGGTAAAAACGCAGTAGCTTTGAATTTTTTGGCTGGTCCGGAACAGTTGTTTGGTTTTCCGGTCTTGGTTTCTGCAAGAAATAAAACGGATAACCATTAGAAACCAGAACAGATGACAGACGTTTTTCTCCTCGGAGATGACTGAGGGTTTTTTTACGAGACGTTTGGCGCTCTCGTAAAGGCACTTAACAATACCGCGTTTTACTAATTGAGGGTGGTGTGAGTCATACGCTAAGTATTGATCGGTGTGCGTAGGCTTCTCGTATACGCTGATGGTGAGGCGGGCGTCAGGTTCTCTTAAAACTGCGGTGTCTAGGAAGGCGAGTTTGTTGTCTTTCTCTGTCTCCATGGTGAAGCGGATGGAAGGCTGCTGGTTGTTTAAATGCTGTAAGAAGTCATCTACGTTTTCGCGATCCAGTATGGTAAATGTATCGTCCAAAGATCTGACAGACTGCCTGACCAGCAAGTTGTCCGAAAAGCTGCTTCAATCTAATTCAGTGATATTACATCAATATTCAAGCACTACCCTGAATGTCCGCTGAATTGAAGTAACGTTTTTCCACACTTCCGAGCCTTGCTGTGCCATCGTATTTTGGCTATCATTCTAGACCGTCCTTGCTCCGAAGAGCTGTCCTGACCTTCCCTTGCGGAACAGATATTTTATTGAAATTTACATTTAAGGACTCCTCGCCCAATATAAAGAGATCTTTTTAACTCAGAATGTGACGGCTTAGAGGGGAAAAAAGAACATGGCGTTTTGTTGCAGCGTGCTTCGGAGATCACTACCGACTGACCTCTCTCACCGTAAGTAGCTCGCGATTGGGTTGATGGCAGCTTCGTCTATTTCTGAAGGGACTTGCAGAACAAACTGCTGTAATTGTCACCATGGATAACAATTCTAACGGAGATTTAGACGATGAAAGTGTTCCGGATACCTTGAAACCTCCGCCACGCTCAAAGTCTCGAACAAAGTCAGTGGACGAGCTTGTGGCACATTTAGAGGAACAGAACAGGTGAGTCTTCACTAGACAGGATTGCTGTGATTTATTACATTACTTTCTTGTGTGAATAAAATGACAAGAATTTAAAAGGTGTGTAAATGATTAATTAAAATTTTCGATGTTTATTTCACCCTTGATATTTCAAGATATACTGTTTGAAAGTTATTGCTACAGAGTATGTGACTATGTACATTGAATTACAATATCAGAGACGCTTTTTAACCTTTAATCGAGGCTAAAGAATTTTTGCCCCTCTATATCGAGAACGAGAGGTCTCAGAAGCATAATTCATCTTTCTACCCGAAGATTATTCATTTCACTTTTGTTTCATCGTTGTGGGCTTTTCTGGTAAGCTCTTGTTAATATTCTCGTGACTTTATTTCCGGCACATGATACTGTTTCTTAAGCGGCCAAAATACTGCGTTAAGTTAAAGTAAAGACATATCAAAGGAAAGGAACCTCTCAAATAATGATTATATGTTTTTGGAGCTGACACTTTAAAGTCTACATGCTCTTAAAGGTAACTAAGTGAACGCTCTAGTGAATCGCTAATTAGATTAACAAATAACTCAGTCAATTGGTTCAAAATTTGCATATTATTCGATCGGAAATATTACAGCTGTGTGAAAGGGCTATATTGTATTGGTTTTTGTGTTGTGTGATCAATTCACAAACAGTAACTTTAAAGAAAATTAATATGAAGTCAAGATAGATTGTTATGTGGCCTTGGTAAAGAGTGTGTGCTCATAAATATTAATCATTTTTTATCATAGGGAAAAGGGATTTCTGATGGGTGACAGGATATAATCTGACAGCTGTAGCATAACAAATGTTAATTTTGATTTAATAGATCTTTATTCAATTTTTTGATCATTTGTTATTTTATTTTATCATTGCATGCAAATTTGTGTTAATTCAAATATTTTATTTTCCAAGCTCAGTTTAAAATAAATCTTAAAAATGTCACTTCCTATGATCTTTACCCTGTGCAAAAAATTTCTTGAACAATGTCATTTGCCTGTAAGCACTGGTGGGACCAACCAATTACCACTTGCTTAGTTTTGTTTTACCCAATGTAGGGCCCTTAACCTTCTTATGATTACATTATGAAAAAAGGAACAAATATTTGAAAATGGTAAACATGTGAAATACTAGAGAAAAGTTTTGAAAAAATTGTCTTTTTAATCCTTCAAAATTTCGTTTTGGCTTTATTGTGCAGAACCACTATTTTGAAGCTATTGCAGAAGAGAAATTTACAAATTTGAATTATATTCAAGCAAATTAGATGGAAAGTAAATTTTAAATTGTGTTACACCCCAGATTTATTTTTTCAGCAGCCACAAACCTTTTGAGCATGCATGCATGCTAAATACCTTGAATAGAATGTTTTAAATGCTTCAATGTCTGAAACCTTAGTTTGAGTGAAACCTTCTGTAAATAACCAGCCCTCAGTGTTGTAAGTGCTTTAGTGTCTCAAACCATGGTTTGAATAAGACCTTGTGTATATTCAGGCAAATTATATGGAAAGTAAATCTCAAAGTGTGTTACACCCCAGATTTATTTCCTTGGCGGCCATGAACCTTATGAGCTTGCATGCATGCTAAATACCTTGAATAGAAATTTCAGGTCTGATTATTTTAAACAAAGTTAAGCCACAATCCTCAGTCAAGCCAAACCTTCTATCTGAACATTTATTATTGTGAACAGTGTAAAGAGGACTGAAAGCTAACAGTGTAAGGACATTTATTTATTTATTTATTTATTTATTCAGTCAACGTTTTTATAGAGAAAGCCCACTGATTTCTTGAAACCATTGTTTGGGTTAGACTTACTCTAAATAATCAGCCTCCAGTGTTTTAAGTGCTTTAGTGTCTCAAACCTTGATTTGAGTGAAACCTTCTGTTAATAACCAGCCCTCTGTGTTTTAAGTGCTTTAGTATTTCAAACTATGGTTTGAGTGAAACCTTCTGTAAATAACCAGCTCCTAGTGTTTTTATTTCTTTAGTATCTTAAACCATGGTTTGAGTGAAACCTTCAGTAAATAACCAGCCCCTAGTCTTTTAATTGCTTTAGTGTCTCAAACCTTGGTTTGAATGAAACCTTTGGTAAATAACCAGCCCTCAGTGTTTTAAGTGCTTTAGTGTCTCAACCTTGTGTAAATAACCAGCCCCCAGTGTTGTAAGTGCTTTAGTATCTCAAACCATGACTGTAAATAACCAGCCCCCAGTGTTTCAAGTGCTTTTAATTAGTATCTTAAACTGTGGTTTGAGTGAAACCTTCTGTAAATAACTAGCCCCCAGTGTTGTAAGTGCTTTAGTGTCTCAAACCATGGTTTTAGTGAAACCTGTAAATAACTAGCCCTCAGTGATGTAAGTGCTCTAGTGTCTCAAACCATGGTTTGAGTGAAACCTTCTGTAAGTAACCAGTCCTCACTGTTTTAAGTGCTTTTAGTATCTTAAACCATGGTTTGAATTAAATCTTCTGTAAATAACCAGCCCTCTGTATTTTAAGTGCTTTAGTATCTCAAATCTTGGTTTGAGTGAAACCTTCTGTAAATAACCAGCCCTCAGTGTTGTAAGCGTGTTAGTGTCTCAGTCACCTTGGTTTGAATGAGACCTTGTGTAAATAACTAGCTCTCAGTGTTTTGTGTGCTTTTATGTGTCATCTTTAAAGTATAATGTACCACATTCATTTAGGATTATTTCATGAGGATAACAGTACAAATTTATCCCTTCATTAGGTTGTTAAGCAGTGATTCTAAGGCACTGACCACCATTCCAGATGGAGCGTCTCCAAGCCTTGCCAAAAAGAGATGGTCAGCTTGCAGTGCAGGAAGTAACTCTCTAGATGCTACAAGTGACAGTCCAGAGACACCAGACAACTATGATGAGGTGTGTGGTGAAGCAGACACTTATCATGAGTGGGGACAACTCATTGGTCATTGGTCTGATTCTCAGAGGAAGAAACCAAAGTTTATCAGAGATATGGTTAGGATGGGCGTTCCAAATGCACTGCGTGGAATGGTATGGCAGTTGCTCTGTGAAGCTAGTGATTCTCCTCTTAAAGAACAGTACCCTCAGCTCATAAAGGTTAGTTTCAGTCACCAGTAATGTGAATGCAGCACTCGGCAAATTTCCTGTAAATGCACAGCATATGTATCTTGTGTTTTAGTGGTGATAGATAGATAATTTCATTTTATTGATAATTAAGGGATTTGAAACAACTCTTTAACTTTATGTTGCTTATTGACATTTTTCACACAATTTTTAGTAATAAATATGTTTTAGGACTTTTGAATTACAAAAAGATTTTTCATCACAGCACGCTGTATTCAAAGTTAGATGTTTCAGGTAACATCATTCTGTTGACAAGCCACAACTATTAGCTTAATTTCTTTTTTAAAATTGATCAATAAATATTAGTTTTCGAAGAAGTTTCCTTCAATTTTTTTGTTTTGTCACCTAATTTCAGAGCAACTCAGCATGTGAACGGATGATCAAACGAGATATTGCTAGAACCTTTCCTGATCATTCGTTCTTTAAAGATAAGGATGGCATTGGTCAAGGAACTCTTTATAATGTTATTAAGGTAAACCAGTAAATTTTAAGAAATTTCAGCTATTAATCCCTTTACGCCCTAACTTAGGTATGCTCTATACTGTTCTCTTTACATTTTTTAAGGTTCTGAAAAGGAGAATTTGTTTAACAGTCAAGAGTTCTTTAGTTGTGGATCATTTCCCTTATTCTCATGACCTTAATGTTTGATTCAGGGCTGATATTGTGAGGAGAAATCAGATGCCAGTCACTCTTAGGGGTCCATGGGTTAATTATTGCCCAGTATTTATGGTTCTATGTAAATTTGAGACTTATTATAAATTAAATATGTGCTACAATCATGATTCTTGTGGAGGTTTACTGGTCAGATAATTAAATTTCATGTTTCCTGTGCATAAATACGAGTTTAAAAATTTTTGATGAATTTTTTTGGAACTGCTATTATTGTTTCCACATTTTACTTACACTTTCCACTACATGTACATAATTTAAAGTAGAGGATTTGGTAGAGCTTGAATGAGTACTAAGTTTTTTTTTTTCATTTTTTGAATTAGGCATACTCTGTTTGGGATAAAGAAGTGGGATATTGTCAAGGTAGTGCATTCATAGTTGGCATATTGCTTATGCAGGTGAGGACGTTATGAAATAAATCTTTAGTTTTGTTTGCTTTTGATTGTTTTTATCATATGTTTCATCTATGTACAAAGATAATGTTAATTTTCCTATTTTTTCTGTTTTAGATGCCTGAGGAAGATGCATTTTGTGTATTTGTAAAGCTCATGCAGGAATATAGAATGAGAGAAATTTTCAAACCTACAATGGCTGAACTAGGACTTTGCATATTTCAGCTGGAAAGCATGTTGCAGGTTTACTAAAATTATTTTCATTAACACAATTGGTTGGTTTATTTTCTTTCACATCAAAGAGAGGCGAATATGATAATACAATCAGCATTGTAGTGTGTGTACTTCACCTCTGGTACCACACTAATAGCTGGGATAAATTTGCATGCTCATGTTATTTTTCACTACACAGTCTAGCTGTCTGTTTCTTATTTAAATAACCCTCTTTCTACCTTTCAGGAACATCTTCCTCTTCTGTTTTCACATTTTCAAGCCCAGGTATTTCCAATTTCAGAATATTATAGTACTGTACTTTTTTGTTTTTGGAATGTGGATATTGAAATGCCTCTTTAATCACAAGTTTAGAACCTTGTTTAGACATTTGTAAACATTTCTGTATTTTCCCTAGTAGTCAAACAAGCTCATGCCATATCCAGCTTGGACAAGGTTACTTTTTCCAGCAAGCTCCATTAACCCTTTTAACTCCCATGAGTGACCAAAAAAGAATTTCTCCTTACAATTTCTATACAGTATCAAGCCGACAAGTGATGAGAATAAAGAAAAATATCAATTAGGGGTTTATAAGTTGATGCAATACCAAATTCTCCAAACAAACATCACATGAACTGTATGGCAGACAATAAGGAGAATTACTAATGAGATCTTGGGAGTTAAAAGGTTAAGCTCCCTCCGGAAAGTTTTTCCCTTTTGGCTTGACAAATGGTTCAATACACGACGTTTCCATATTGTTTGCTTCATGTACAACTATAATTTTGGATAGTGCCAGATATCTGTTTTTTTAAAAAAAGAAAACAAACAAACAAACAAAAAGAAAACAAAGACAGTAGTAATTTAGAGAGACTAGCCTATGTCTTCAATACTTTCTTTGACACCAGGGATTCCATACAGCCATGTATGCTTCATCATGGTTCTTGACGCTTTTTGCCTCTGTATTTCCTCTGAATGCATCATTCAGAATCATGGATGTCTTCATTTGTGAGGTGAGAGGTGATAAACGATTGAAGAATTTTCAATTATCAAATATTTCGCTTTTAGAACGTGTGCTCATACAAGCAAGTCAATTTACCCACTTTCAAGCCTACCAAGAACAAAGTCAGTGTAACTGTATTTAAACATTTCTGCGATATGGACTCTTTAAAAGTATTGGTTACTTTTTCGTTTAGGGAAGGGAAGGTCTGTTTCGTGTTATCATGGCAATGCTCACCCTTGGTCAAGATGAGATACTTGAACTTGATATGGAAGGAATGCTGAAGGTGAGTCAACCAGCCGTGCATTGGGTGCTCAGGTGATAATGGTAGTAAAATTTGGTCATAAGACTCTTAGCTGTCCATGATAGAGAACAAAAGAAAAGAAGCTGTTAGCTCTCAGTCTTTTAATGCTGGTCACCAGCAAACGACTAATTTGAAGTCTGGTCAATATTCTTGATGTAAATCAGAGCTTTGGAAACGAAAGGTCCGTCACTTTTTGTTGTGCCTTTATCACTTAGCTGCCGATCTTTCAAGAGTAGGATTTGTACATTCTGTTTCGATGAACTTGTTCCAATTGGCGATGGAAATAAACGCCCAGGTTTAATAATTGTCACTTGTCGCCCAACTGGAAAAATTTTATTTCGGACCCTGCCTTATTAGGTCTCTTTGGCTTGGCAAGGCCGATGGGATGGCTCTGAGTCCCAACATAGAAAAAGTTAGAAAGACAGGTTTTGATAAAATCGTTAGATGTTGCTGAGAAGACGTTATTGTCATCTGTATGTATCCTCATCTTGTCACCTCAGCCACTGAAATCTTACAGTTGTACCATTATAACAACCGGTATCAAAGTTGATTGTTTCATTTTATCTTCCTTCTTCCTAATCAGTATTTTCAAAAAACTATGCCAGACAAGTACGAAAAGGACATGAATGTTCTGATGAAAGCAGCTGCCGAAGCCAAAGTGAGCACCAAGAAATTAAAAAGGTACATCCACTGGCAGCTGTGTCGACCTTAATAACTTGTAAACTACTGAACTTCCCCTGCCCACTCCCATTGGTGCCCTGGATATTCATATCAGACGCTCGCTCAGTCTATAGGGGTGCGTCAATCCAATTCCTTTCGCGCGTTTATGTTTTAGGCTGGAGAAGGAATACACGCGGGTAAAACACAAAGAAGCAGAAGACAACGAAGAACTACGACGATTGAAGACTGAAAATAGACTGCTGCTTCAGAGAATCGACGAACTGGAGAAGGTCAGTGCAGTTCGGATGTGTACTTGCATATATGATAACAATAGGCTAACTTAGGCACTTAACAAGTAACTTTGTTTTTCTTCACGTCCATTATCATTGTTGGAAGTTGCATTGGGTTACTGAAATTTTACTTCCGAGTAATGACGACAAATTTTTTTACTAAATCTGAGTAACCTTTTGATTTTCATGTCCAATAGGAGAGTGCCAGTTTAGCAGACAGATTGATACAGGTAACGGCTCTTTTTGGTTGAGTGTGATCTTGATAAAAATTAGGTTGTTATGCATTTGCCCACAGCTTGGGACAAAGACAAAGAAACTCACCGAGAATCAGTGTCAGTATCAATAAGTTCAGGCAAACACTACTATATGTATTTGTGAAGATGGTTAATCCTAAGGATGTTTGCTATTAGGTACGATCTCTGAAAAAAAAAGTTTTTGTACTATTGCTCACGGTTACATGTAACTAAGTTTCAAATGAATTTTCGTCACATTTTTCTATTGCCGTTGTGGCAAAGTGTGCTTGACCAGATCTTTCACTTCCTACCATTTATCAATTTTAGGGTCAAATAACTCGAGCGCAGGAGCAAGAAGAAATTTACGCTCTAAAACGAGATCTTGTTGTTTTGAGAAGACACGATAATGCAACTGCTGCTGCACTTTTAGAAGCCAACAGACGAATAGAAGAACTATCCATGTTTAAGGTACTTTAATGTCTGTCGAAGCTCTGATTTCGTTAGCTTTCTGTACCTTTCACTGAAAAGAGGACATCACTAATACGCGAAAGGTAATTTCGTCCAAAAAAAATTGTACCTTTGATTTTGTATTCAGGCGCTATTGCTCGCTTAGTGATTATTTTAATGTGAATGGCCTATCGCTTACAAACGCGAGAAAGGAATGAAATCGTCGTGCAAAACAAAGAGAGTTAATTGCGGAGAAACAAAAATTATAGAGAACGTATATTGGTCTTAAGTGGTCAGACCTCTGTGCTTCAGATCGTAATCTGAAGCGAGTCGTGAGTTTTTCGTTGTACATGAATGGGCATACCTACCTTTCGGTGTACAGCAAATCCTCTTTTTCCCAAATTTGTTTGGTCAAGATGGGAGAACGCTGTAACTCCTTTTCTTGTTTCTCTTTCCATCTATGATTTTAGAGTTGCAAAAAGAACGCGGCTAACCTTGAACTCACCCTCACTCTATTCGCATATTTCCCAACAGAATCACATAATCAATGAGATGAGCGGGCGACAAGATGCCTCTCCTCCCTCCCCACGGGACGTCAAGATCATTGCATTGGAGGCGGAACTGGAAGAGTACAAAAAGAGAGAATCCAAAACAAACCAAGTGCTAAATGAACTGACGAGGAGGTCACGAGATTTAGAAAATGAGGTTTGTTTTTAAGGGATATTGCATAGGGTAATAAACAGGGAGATAAAGGTGCATTTAGGTTGTCATCAAAGTATTACTATCTCAGTCGCAGCGATGAGTGCTGCAAAGTTATCAAATCGTACAAAGCAGACAAAACACTTGTTCACGATTGGAATCAAAAGAATAAAGTAAACTTTACAAGCATGAAAAAAAGAATTATAACATAGCGCGCGTGTTTGCCCAATGTAAGTCCTATTGAGCCGCAACGAACAAAATCTTTAATAAGATGACGTGAGCATTTTTTGTTCATTGTCGCTCTGTTCAGTATAAAAGAATTTGCTCATGCTTTTAGCTGTGCGTATATCGAGTTATGGATGCACTTGGGAAATTTGGAGAGCACTCAAAAAGCTAGAGTTGCTCTGGGCTGCGCCTCGAGCTACTCTTACGCATTTTTCGTGCTCTTCAAACTTCCCGCGTGCATCCATAACTCGATATACGCACGCTAAGCATGAACAAATTTTTAATTTTACAGGGTAAAGTTATACCCTCGTTTCGAAGTGTAGAATAGAAATTGAAACTTCGACATCAATCGACATACGGTTGTACACGTCCCAACTTCTAGAATACTCACGAGGTCTTTTATTTGTTCATAATAATCGGTGATTTTACTGGTAATAGAGTGCTCTCTGCGGTAGAATCAAGTGTCATCGTCAAAATATACCAACATTATTCATAAAGGTTCTTATTTTATTTTATCAGCTACTCTACATCGTGTAACTTGCATATTATGTGATTCGTTTTCGTAAGATCATCTTTTGCCTGAATCTCCAATTGCTGACTATCTAGTGAAGTGATGTTGTCCATTTTGTAGCTTTACCTTGCCAAAGAAAGTACAGAGGGAGCGACCGTTTCTCAAGTGGAGGAAGAAGTCCAGAAAGATGAAACAATTATTTGATTTTAAAACAGTTGGTGAATCAACGACTTTGGATGAACATGCTGATGTAATCAAAAGACGAGCAATGCATTACAGGGTCGAATCGTTTAGCTGGTGTGTTACTGAAGCACACAAAAACAGTTGACCTCGTGTACAGCTGGAACATCCGTTAAATCATGACAATTAAGTCATTCAGCTCTCATACAACTCAGTTACCTGGCTTTATCAGGCCAAAATTGGATAATTTATTTTTATTGACATGCAAAATGCTGTAATTTCCTTTCCTTTTTTTAAATTTTCGTAAGGATAAACTCGTAATGGTCATCGTTGAGACGGAAGAAGTGAGTTTACAAGTGTATAAAATGAAACTGTCTCTTGACTATGGTTAAAATGTAATGAACATATTTGATGATATAAGGAATAATTATAAATACTGAGAAGCATTTCTTAATGGAACTAGAGAAAGAAGGATTTGGGAATAACTTTGTTCAATTTTTCTTAGTTCTCTCTAGTTTTGGAATTTTTCTTCAGTGGCAAAATAGTTTACAAACCACATGGAAGAAAAATTAATCGCCTCGAATCCTCTTGTTTCTTAAGAGAATTGTATATAGTAAAAATGAAGGTATCGAACTGAAATCCCTTGTTGAGATTGTAAAAAAGCGAAAGCTGTAAAAGTTATTGTGGAAAGTTGTGCTTTGTATGAGAAATTAAGGAATTTCAATTTTTCTGGTAATTGTATCTTCGATTTAAGAGTTCAAATATTATCAGAGTACCTTAAAATATTGATGAAGAGGATAGTCTACTGTATGGTTCAGTTTTGCATTTGTTATCTTTTTAAAAAGTATGTGCAAGTCATTGGAAAAAGAGACTAGACCAGGTTTCTGTGGTCAATAAATACGGAAATTATTTCACGGAAAATTGAATTTATCACTTGGATTTCCTGTTCTTGATTTCTTCTCCAGTCGTCAAATATAAATCTGTATCCTCTGTATTTTTTAGATGAATGTTATTCATTCCAAGATAATTGATTTCAATATTCCTGGGTGTCGAAATCTATGTTAGGACTTCCCTTGCAATTAAGCCAATTGAAAAGTAAATAACTTTAGCCATTCTCTGGACTTGTCAGATAGTAGACACTCAAGAAAGACTCTATTGTAATTTTTTCATTTTATTCAATCTCTATTCAAGCACCTGCAAACTTTGTTCTGTGGAAAGGACGGTTCCTTAGTCTCATTACTTGAAGACCTGTGAAAGAAAGGAAATTCAAAAGTGAATTTAAAATTACTTGAAACAAACTTTTTCTTAGGCTTCGAATATTTGATATTTATCAAATTGACAGCGGCTTTCTTCAAAGCGCGCATGCTAGTATGTTAATTGGTGTAGGTATTTGAATCACTCCAACTGTCATATGAGGGCAAGGGCGCATAAACGTCACAAGCTCGGGATTTTTTATCCAACCGGCCTCTTTCAATTTAGAGTTAGGATGAACGGTTGGGGGAGGGGCGGAGGAAGTCCAGCACCCCTCCCCTCTCCTTCTAAGCCATACTCACCTCTCTAGGCATCGCACCCATATAACTCCACCCTCATGCAGGGATAGCTCGCGTCGACAACGATGATCTTGACATATCGGGTCTTAACAGGATTAAATGTATTCACCACAGGTGTGAAATGATCACAGTTTCCCGTAAAAACCTGAAATGATAGAACGACATACGAAAGTTTTTAAGTACCGGACAAACTTTTGCAGGTACGTGGAATACTTAAAGTGCTCCAAAAGTGGATGAGTAAGAGACAAATTGCTTTTGCATCAACCCGATGGAAGCAAATAAACGGAAAACAAAAACAAAAGTTAGGCAAAGGAACTGGAAGTTAACTCAATAGCATTTGATCCTTACCTTTTCCTTTCCATTTTCCTGGTAAGTCTGGAAGCTTGATCCGTCATTACTGAAAGCCAGCTTGTATTCTTTGACGTGCTCGTGGAAAACATCGCGCCCTTTAAGGAAAATTTAGATAAAAAGCTAAATATAAATTGAATACATTACCTAGCTTTCAGTTTCTGGATAACATTACAAACTGCGCTCATTCGAAGGGCTCTTGCAACATTTTTTTCTGATTTTAGCAATTGAAAAATTTCGTCAATTTCATATCTTCAAAATTGCAAATGGCATCATCTTAGAAAAGTAATTTTCAAACAAGAATCGAAGGCGATCCTAAATTGCTTTAATTTAATTTTGCTTTTCTGCGTTCTGTGATGGGTCTGGAGAAATTGCTCCACCCCCTAAGCCAATCAAATGTTAATTGGGGTTTGTTAAGGTGGATAAGGCGCTGGTGTTACGTTCATGCACCCAGCGAGAGAGCTTCGTTGGTTACTGACGTGATGATTTGACAATAAAAATTTTTCAAATAAGTGTTAAAAATAATTCGGGATTGCATTATTTTTGCTATACTTTGGTAAGTGGTTGGTCCAGAAATTTTACGTCACCTTCTCAATCAATCAGATACAACACGACTTGCCCGCGTTCTCTTGCACTTTGCGTAGTTAGTTTCATGTTTTAACTTTGAGTTCTCATTGCCTTTTAAAGGTATTTTCTTTTCTTCTGATCATGATAGGCCACGTTCGTTCGTTTTGGTCGTACGACACTCAATAAGAAAGCGCTCTATCAGCTTTAAGGTTTTTTTTCGGTGGATAAATCGCTGGCGTTATGAGCATTAATCCTCTTGCAAGAAAAAAGCCCGCTGACGGTTCCGGCCCACATGTTACAAATGTAGTCCATATTACCTTGTGTGGCTATTCCCCTTACTGTCTTGGTTTGACCAAGATCAATCTGTAGCCACTGGTTATCGCGATCCTCAGCGCACCAAGCTCCGATCCTTTTGTTGTCTTGGTCATCCTCAAAGTAAAGACGAGCATTGTCTGCCGTAGCTCTCCAATCGCCTGTACATGAGAACAAAACCAAACGAACGTAAAACGCAAACGAAAAAGGAATCATTTGGCAACAGAAATCCATTACGTGGTTCTCCAATCACCATCTCATAAGATCAAACCAAACGAACGCAAAACGCTAATAAAACAAGAAACGATACAGCAACAGAAACGTTTGTGTCTAATTACGACTTTAACTCTTTACTCCCAGGTTTGGTGCATTTATACTGTAGTTGAAATTCTTTAACCTTTTATAATCCTTCAAATCATAAGGGTGACCTGCATCCAATAAAGAAAGGAAAATGCGTTGTTCTAATCACAGCAACGATGGCAAAGGTGTGAGGACGATGAATATTTTGAAATGGAATTTATTATTTCTTACTCACCTGGCCTGTACTCTGTTGAAGCACTAAAAGCATTGTCTGGAAGTTTGTAGTTTCCTGGCCATCCTAGACCGAGACCTTCCGAGCAAGCACCTAGATCATAGGAAGGTAGCATTAGTCAGTGTCTTGTGTTTCTGAAATTTGGAAACAATGGCAGGCCTGTCGCGATTGTGCGCGGAAACTTTTGAGGAACCTTTTTGCGATTTCAGCAACCTCGAACAATTTTTGCCTTTCTGAGCAATTTTTGAGCAACTTTAAGGTTTGGAGCACATATCAAGGACGATAAAGTTAACGATTTCTTTAAAAAAAAAAACTTTGATTTATGCAAATTTCTTGAATGTTTCGCAGGCCTAGTATCAAGCATAGGAACGGATAATCGGCTTAAACGGCGCACAACTTTCCATGGATAGAGATAGATAGTCAGAAGCCGTCTTAATTGGCGAGCAACTCTGTAAAGCTAAGTTTATTATTGCGAAGAACACAAAATCAAGAAATTTAGGAGGCAACTTTTGAAATTTAAGTAGCCACTTTTCAGATTTTTGGCAATTTTTTAGCACCTTTTTTACATTCCAGAGATTTCCAGCATTTTGCGAACACAATCCGGACAAGCCTAAACGGTGATAAGGTTTTCATATATATATTTTACCGCCCCTACTATTTTAGCAGTTTAAAGACAGACATGAATTTACAACTTTGAATGTGACTGGCATATTGAACTGTCCGATAGCAAACTGTCCGATAACAACTTGGCAAGTGAGTAAGAGGAAAATAACAATCGAGGAAATTGTGATTTTTCATGATTATACTGATAAAAATACTTTAATTATTACCTTTTGGCTTGATTGGGTACGTGTCGCATCTTGTTTTGCAGCTAATGCGACAGGTGCTTTCAGTCCATCCATTGGTTTTGCATTCACCACTGGCGGCCCACGATGGACAGCTTTTACGTTTATCAACACACATCAAGCCTGAAAAGGAGAGAGTCAGATACCCAGTGTTCGCTTTGCAGTGATTCGAAAAGTTTTTATTTGGTCAAGATTTAAAGAAAATCATTTGTGTACAGATGGTGCTTAGTGATAATAGCAAACCGGAAATAGTTGTTCAGAAGGCAGGGATTCTCAAGGCAGTTTTTAAATTGCAAACAGCGAAACTGAATCGTATATTGACAGTTTGTTTTCTAAACTTGTCATTTCTCAAACAGTATAACTTAATACTCCATACCTAAGATGTCTTTGTTCGGCAAGTAATTGACAGAGAACAAAGGATTTTGTTGATAGGAACCTGACACCTCCTGTAAATACACTCTGTTCTTAATAATATGAAAATAGAACTAAAGGAAACAAGGAAAAATGAATGCACAAACCCGATCCTGTCCTGTTCGGCAAAGTTGGTGGAACGGTTGGTATCCCTGTGATTGGTGGATTAGTCGGGTTTGGTGGTTTGGGTGGATTAGTCGGTTTTGGCTCTATCGAAAAAAAAAGGAAAAAAAAGACAGAGATAGAAAGAAAAGAAGAGGAAGAAGAACAGAATGGCGTTGGGAATCACTAGAAAACTAATTCTATCAAAACATCACACCTCAATAAAGGTGTTCTAAAGGGCTCTTACTTGTACACTCGTTACAGTAGCCACAAGTGTGAGGACATTCCATTTCCATCTTGACTGGATCAGAACTGCATTCATCATTATCTGCACGGGTCTTACAGTCATATTTCAGATCGACGCAGTTATCTGTGGAAACGCAATAGGCACCTTAAGAATTTGAAGTCTTTGGTTGTACCCTTTCTATTTTCTGACGAGCGAAATTGTAGAGAATTTTGGCCCCTGTTTGAGATAAAATGCATGAGACGAAGCTGATGATTAATCTGCCAATCCAAAAAAATCTTTCTATTAGGAGAAGTTTACACTTGGAAGAATTATCCATTTTCACAAAAAAATTCCTTTAAAGCACGCATGCATGTACCAGATGAGCAGAAATCACAAGTCTTTTTGCAGTGATAGATCAATGCCGAATGTTGGGAACAGAATCCAGACTTCTTCCAGCTGGCACAATCCGCTGATGAAGCTCTGTCGATACAAATCTGTGGCGATGGGTCTAAAAAAATTTAGAATAGGAAGAAGTTATTTTTAAGTTATCCCTTTTTGTGAAAAACAAACGTACCTCTTTTCAACATGTTTTGCATTAGTTAGTGGACAATGGTTGTCACGTCTTCTTATTGACCCCCTGAGCTGTCTCTGGCTAGACTAAGATTGTAAGTAAAATCAAGACTTTTCGGCCAATGCTTATTGTATTTGCACTAAACAATAATGAACATGACTTCGTATTTAGATCATCATTTACAAATATATTTGTAGAAGTGTAGTAGCAAATATCTTGAGCAAGGAACTAGGTTTGATTAGCTTGCAACCCTTTAATTAAAGAACGCGTAACGAAAACGATTCCCTTGACCCAGAAAGTAATAACACCAATGGAGCGACTGACCAAACAGAGGCAAAGAAAACGAATATTTTCTTAATTTTTTGTTTTTTGTTTGCTTGTTTTTTTACCCCTCGTTATTGTGGGCGAGTCGTAAGCGTGACGGAGTTACAATCGCGGGAAATCCTGTTTCCGAATC